AACAAACCATTACCAGGTAACAGGACAAGTCTGTGCCTCCGTCATCTCACTGGACCTTTATCAAAGCTGATGTTCAATTTGGAATGAATTCAAGCAATTTTGTCTGACAGATGCTCTGCAAATTCCTCTACCTAGCTTGTACGTAAATCTCTGAGTCTTCCTTCCCCAAGAGAGCTCATGTCACTTTAAACAAGGCTGCAAGATGGCTATCTGTTGATGCAATAAGGGCAGAGAAGTATTGTTGCTTTTTTCTAAACCAGAATAAACAACTTTAGCCAGACAATGCCATAAGAAATTATTTTTTCTGTAAGTACAAGGACTGCAGGGAGAGAGATGAAGTGGATAAAATGCATGATAACAATTATAATAATTATGATGATGATACCAGCCTTATCTGGTTGCTAAATTTGAGAGACTCAAGATGGCTAACATTCAATAGGAACTATGAATCACTTATTTTTGACTAAAATATATTTTTATTTGAGTTGGTTGGAAAATATTATTTTATAGCTAATAAAACCACACCATCCAATTTCAAGCAGTTAATTTTAGAATGCTCACTCATGCTGTAAACAAGGGAGTGGATGTGTCAAAGGCTATAGGTTGCTCTCTCTTGTTTTAAAATGTTTGAAGTTAGTTTTATTTCATTCATATTGAAGAAAACACATGCAATAGCATGACTGGCTCTTGGGTGTTTGCTGTTTCCATCAACCGTCTTGGAAAAAGTTGGTTTTTCACTTTCTTGTGACACTACAATGGAGAATGTTGTGATGTCAGCATTCTTTAACAGCAAACTTTAGCAATCTTTATTCCATTATTTAATCTTCTGCCTAGCTGCTTCTTCCCAATGGACAAGTTTATAAGTGGCTGTTTTACTACAAGTGAGAAAAAGTCATTTTCTGACACAACACAATCTCTATTGATCCTTTCTCTGCCAGTATCTGGAGACTGGAACAGCTACCTATCTATGTTGGGGTAAGAAAAAAAAATGCAGTTATATCTATTTATTTTGTCTATGCCTGGGATGGGGAGGTTATATGTCTATACTACAATTTTATTCTCCAGAATTACTCTTAAAACATCTTACAAAAGCATCTTAGAAAGCTAAAGCATTACAAATATAATCTACAAAATAGGTACACCATGTTGGAATTATGTTCTGGGGCCACCTGCATATTATTCAATCAGAATTCAGACATGTGAAACTCGTGACGTCACGTGACGTCGTGCAACATATTGGGCCAGTTTTGCCATTGCCGGCAATGGTGGGGGCGCAGCTTCTGGGTGATGCGTCCGGCCATGGGCCGGCAGTTTGACACCCCTGAATCAGATGATGGATTTAGATGGCTCTTCCTTGGCTGAAAAAATATCATCTCTTTTGCCTCACTTCTGAAATGGAGGGAAAACAAAGTCAGAGTCACTTAGTGACTGGAGTGTAGTAGTGGACTCATATGGGAAAGTAAGTCTTCTTTCAAGCCAGACCGAAAGATATTTTAGAATATCAGGCACAGAATCAGAATCCTCACATTTTGTGTGTGATGGCTTTCTCAGTATATTTCCCAGTAATTGTGAGTTTCCTGTGCATTAAATCTTCCTCCCAGTAGTCCACTGCTGATTGCAGATACCGATCGATGGTGACACTATTTGTTTCTCAATAACACGATGGTTTACTGCTGGGGGGATGGGGGGTGTGTACATGGAAATGAAAGCTAGCATCACAAAATCCCCAAAGTTCTTACTAACAATAAAGTTGCATTCTGTCCAAAATGGTAATGATACTGTATTCGTTTGAGAATAACATTAGGATAAAATTTACATGATGCAAATATATTGCAGTGCATTTTATGCTCAAAACAATCCTTTGACAGAAGCTAAGTCATGAGACTGCAATTTCATAAGAACACAGGCATTGAGCTGGAGTTCCAGCTTTCCACTGACCAAGACATCCAGTGATACTGCCAAGCCTTTTCTGGCCCTACTTCCAAACTTTCAATCCAAAGAAAAGAACTAGACTTTTTTTTTCTTTAATATAGGCCAGGGGTCTGCAATCTTGACAACTTTAAGACTTGTGGACTTCAGCTCCCAGAATTCTGAAAGTTGTCAAGGTCGCAGACCCTTGATATAAGCAATTAGATAAAGTTACAATGTTGACTGTTGAAAGTGTTGAATGTTGAAACCATCTTCTGTTGTCTCTTCTGTTGTCTTTTGGGGGCATTTTTTTCTTTTGAAGTCCCCACCCAGTAGGGGTGCTCCAATGGCTTAATAGAATATAAATATATTTTTAATCTCAAATCCACATCCTCCAAATTATTATCTGGCTGGGATGTGCTTCGCGTAGAACTTGCTGTTCAAAATGATTAAAGTCTATGTGAAGGACTTTCCTTAGAGTTTCACATCAGAAGCTATTGGTTTAGGAGCCAAGGTTGTCTACCCCTGGTTTAGGGTATATGCAACTACTTGCCTGATTTAATGAGGCTTTGAGATGATTGCAGGCTAGTGCTTCTGGGAGAGGATGGGAAAAAAGATTCTCCATAGGGCACTGCAGTGTCACTTTAACCACCATGATTTACTAAGACCCTGCAGTTGCAGAGAAGAGCAATTTATGGAGAGAAAGAAGAAGAAATTATTTGTTAGAAGAATTCAAACCTATATTTGTGAACATACTTAAAAATTCTACGTGCCTACTTAATGAAAGAATTTAATTTCTGAAAAAAAATCTTTAATTAAAAAAAACCACCAACTACTGCCAATCCCTGGCAATCTGACAACTGGGCAATCATGGATTATTTAGGTTAGACTTTATTGTGTCTTAATTCAAGGAATGTATATGGGAAGTCTAGGTAATTTTGTTTGCAGTTATGAATAGTGAAGACCTGGAAGGGAAAAAAATGGGAAGCAACCAGAATTGCAGGGAGTTGTCTCATGTCTGAATATAAATTTAAACAACAGGAAATTGTATGTGTATAGATACCTTTTTATGATTCTAAGCTGCCCAAAACTACTCTATGGAACTCCAAAAACAATAGCATCTACTTGATTTCTGAAATATTTATGGAAGTATTTCACGTATTCTGAATAAATATTCTGAAAAAATACTTATTGTCACCTTTAGAAGTTAAGTAAATATTTTTGGAGTTCCATAGTTCCAGTTTCCTCTATGGATTTATACATGAACTGTTTAGTACTGTTGACTTACCCTTTGGCATACGTATTTGGGAACTTCCATTATATTCTGGAAACCAAGAAATTATTCCAGTTTGCTTGAAGCTTCTTTGGATTGGGATCCAAACAGGATTAAACATGAATAGAGAAGAGTAGATCAGCTCCTGAAATTAGTGTTTATTGTGGGGGTAAATAAAATCGGATCAAAATTAGACTGCTAAACTGTAAAACAATGTTTCTTAAACTTTTTTCTCTTAGGAAACCTTTACATTTTTAAAAATTATATGATAGCTACACTCCCCTGCTACAGAACTTCCAAACAAGCTCAAGGTCCATATCATAAACATTCCAACCCACAATCTGGCAGAATATTTCTGTTTTTACCGTCCACAGGTATTTTATCCCTTTGTTCTTGCTTGAGTGGGGAGAACAACCATGAGTAAAGTTTTCTCATTTATTAATCCTTTCCTAGCTTTCTGGGATCAGAACTTCCCGAAGAAACATTGGAGTACCTGTCATCCTGTTCCTTCAAATCCTCTCATAGCCAGTCTCCTATTTTTATTAGAGTAGGTTATTTCAGTTTGTGTACTTCAGGCCATTTTTCAAATAAATTCTCAGGATGAATGAAGTCCAAAATAATAACTGTGATATTTCTTTATTTGTAAAATTTATTGGCAGCCCATCTTACCATAGAGTAGTTTTGGGCAGCTTAGAGTCATAAAAATATATCTATACATATACAATTAGAACATAAATAATTTAAACCTGACACATGTGGGGGGAAGTGGGATCTATTATTACTTGATCAACTACCTCTATTGTGCTGTTCCTCCACTGGGACCCCAAGCCAACTGGCAAAGCTACGTCTTTAGGCCCTTACAAAAGGATAGGAGGGTTGGGGCCAACCTCACATCAGGGGGAGGGGGCAAGATGTTTCAGAGGGCAAGAGCAATAGCAGAGAAGGCCTTCCTCTTGGACCCTGCCAGCCGAAATAATGGGCTGACGGGACTCAGCCTTCTCAGCCTTCTCTACCAGCACGAGTGGGAAGGGTCAATTCCATTTGGGTGAGACAGTCCCTCAAGTAACCTGGATCCATGCCATGAAGGGCATTAAGAGTGATCACCAACATCTTGAATCGCACCCAGAAGCAGACTGGTAACCAGTGCAGGTCAAGGAGCAGTGGTGTGACAGGGGCCGTTCTTGGGTCCCCCAAAACTGCCCATGTTGCTGCACTTTGTACCTGCTGTAGCTTTTGAATGCTCTTCAGGGATAGCCCCAGGGAGAGAGCATTACAATAGTCCAGCCATGAGAGGACTATGGACTGAACAACTGAACGCAGGGAATCCTGATCCAAGAAAGACATATGATATTTTACATTCTTAACAATGCCTTCTGATGCAAGGGTTGGGCTGATCAACTATTTGGTGCCCTGACTTTCTGGTTTTGTTCCTCTGTTATGCTTCTTCACGTCTGGCTAATATACATGCCTTGGAAGACACCGGGATCAAGTCTTTAAAAGCATTTTGAAAAAGAAAAGTCCATACAGGAACTCTGGAATCTTCTTCCTTCTTTCAAAAATATGAATACTTTTCAGTTTAGTTTAAAAGAGCATTCATTGTGGCGATGAAAAGTTCTACTCTGAACAAATTATCTGTCTTTTAATATGGGACAGGAAAATTACAATTGGGCATGTGGATATAGAAATCTATATACAGTAGATGCTGCAAATTAATACTGAAGTATTTTTAAATAGCTAGTTTTTTTTCTTTATTGAAAATGAATGTGCACTGCAGTGCGAGATATATTTTTAATTTTTTTCCTATTGCCAATGTGGGAGATTAGCAGCAACAAGAGGAAATGAATCTGAAGAAAGGGAGGGCTGGTATTATGACAAAACAGATTGATACTAAAATAATGAATACTTTTTCTCCTTCCATTTGCAGATCAGATCAGATCAGAGATTGCTTGCTCTATGAACTGCTTTGTTTATAAATCTCAGTTTCTCTTAACCCTATGTAATTTATTTTCTTTCTTTCTTTTCTTTCTTTCTTTCTTTCTTTCTTTCTTTCTTTCTTTCTTTCTTTCTTTCTTTCTTTCTTTTCTTTCTTTCTTTCGGATTCTCTTAACACCATTATTTATTTATTTATTTATTTGTTTGTTTGTTTATTTATTTATTTATTTATTTATTTTCTTCACCAGGAGCAAAAATTCAACTGAACCTGTAACAATCCAGCCATGTCCCACAGGTACCTTTGCTACTTCCAACATGACAACCCTGTTACACACTGGAGGCAACTGGTCCACTGGTCTGTTTGATATCTGCAGTGACAAGACAATTTGTAAGAGAATCTTATGTGTTCCTTGACTTAATTTTCAAAGCTGCCATCCAAGCTTGCATGGGGAAAAGGAAGTTTTCATAAAAGGTTGCTGATTGAAGCTCTTTGCCTGTTGCCCCTGGCCATCAATGCAGCTGGGGCAGGCTGTACAAAATACACACCAGAGCACATTTGAATTACTAAAGCCGTCATGCCAATTCCAAATTTCACTTGGATGCTTCAGTAGTTATTTTCACTTCTGTTTACCTGTTTGTACATGCACTGTACCTTCATTTTGCTGGAAAATAAAAAGCAGACGTTTTGAAGAATAGCTGAACTAACAGGACCATTGAGGTCATATATAGCCTCTACTAGAGGAAGCTCAGATTCACATTTTTAATTCTCTCTAACATGATACACTAGGGAGATATGGTCTGTGCACATTATCCATCCCCCTCAATGTTCCTGGAATCATGCTGGTGGATTTGGCAGCAAATCACTGAGAAGTTCTGATAGAATTTCCTGCTACTTTCCAATGGAAGGAAGGAAGGAAGGAAGGAAGAAGGAAGGAAAGAAGGAAGGAAGGAAGGAAGGAAGGAAGGAAGGAAAGAAGGAAGGAAGGAAGGAAGGAAGGAAGGAACTGTGTAAACTCATTTAGGATCACCTTCCCTCTTCTCTTTCCAAATAAACTTCCAGAAAAATCCCAATTTTAGCTATTTCATTAATGACACCATGTCAGAGTTTCACCCACTTTTTAAGTGTAGATCTTCGTTCTTTCTTTTTTATAGCTATAGAAATTATCAAGAGAAGTATCCCTTAAGCCTATTTTCATCATGACCTGGTGCTTTTCAAATATATTGGACTAACTCTACAAATTTTTAGCTTGTACAAACACATTGAAATTCATCCGTTCCAAAGGACACAGCTTGACTTCTACATTTACAGATTTACTGCAACTAAAGGAAGATGAGATTTGATCAGATCATTTGACAAGAACCTTGTGCAGTTGTTACGTGACAGGAAAATATAACACCTGGGGTTTCTCTGAATTCATTTTGCCCACATCATTGTGGAACCAAATAATATGGTTGTGGAATTTCATCTGAAGATCAGTAGATTTTGACTCAGACCATCAGACATAACAGAGTTTAATGAAAAATGGGCATCCTTGTAGTCACCTTTCAGTCTTGCCTATCATTTTAAAGTTTTCAACCTATTTTCACTGCAATAATGGAAAGCAGCAGAGCTCCCAGATCTGGCCTGTAAAGTTCTGGCAACACTGGATAAAAATATCACTTAACTTGGTCACTATTGATAATGTGAAAAAACAATCTCGATCACTTAAATATTAGATATCTACTTTTGCAACATAACCAAATTTTTGTTTTCTTGAATGAAACTATGTGATCTTGGGTTAAAGTTAAAAGCTGTTGCCTACACACAGATTTATTATTTGATCTAATTATCTTTTGTAAAGAGAGGATAAGAATCTCCCAAGTGCTATTTAGTTTCTTTTTTTAAAAAAAGGTGCAAACTGCTAAAGAACTCTCAAACTATCTTTAAAGCATTAATTAAATACTTCAAACAACAGAATATTTCTTAATTAACATGCAGTATGCCTTTATTGTCATTCAGTCCTGCAAGGATTTCTGTGACCAATCTAATAATCGATCTTGCTGCTTCCCCATGTAATAGTAAATTTTCATATCCCCTGGTTTGTGTTCATACTATTGATTATGTGCCGTCAAAGCACTGTTGATTCTTATTGACTATACAGATAGATTTTAGGAATTA